CACTGGATGGCGCTTGTTATAAGTTATATTATAAGTCTCCGCTACACGAATACTGTGCCACTGGGGGGCCTAGTTAGGGGGACTCGTTTATTTATGAAAGACTAAGACTATTTTCCACATGTGTATTACTACGCCAGTATTAATATAAAGGGCCGCATCACGAAATTTCCGTGTCGACTTAAATGTGAAATCGAGGTATTGTAGCCTTCCGTCTAAAATAAAATCAAAGAATATTTACTTGACATTCGAAACTAAAATAGTCCGATATTTACAATAATACTGTTCATTGCTCCTGCGTGCCGAAACTATTTTATTAAACGTAGAAATACCTATTCCGTTTTAAAATTACAGTGTTCGACCTCATATTACTCCGAAAACGTCTGTGAAACCATAAATTTCTAATCGCTAAAAATTATTTTATGTTAGAGGGAAACACTACAACCGCGTCCCCCTACTGGTGGAATGCAGAAATACGTACCCTGAGTCATATTTTGCTTCTCTTTAGCCTTCCAAATAAAGGTACAGCGATGTTGAAGTTTCATCTCACAGTTTACAAAGCCTTGATAAACAATACGCTCTTTATGGCGAGCATTCGATGCAGGTCTAAATAAACCTGCTTAATATCTGACTTGAAGCGCCAGGTTAAGAATGACGCATTGTACTTTGTGGCCGCGATCGTAACAAACAGGGAAAAACTACGACTCACTGGAGAGTTTGTAAACAAACTGAAGCTACAGTAACTGACTGCCCCTGGAGCAGGAACTCTGTAACAAGTGGTTGACGCATCTCCTATTTAGTCTAACCTCGACACTTGATAACAGTGACAAAGATAGTAACAATGAAACACACCAACACAATGTCGTAACCTCGACACTTGATAACAGAATCAAAGATAGTAACAATGAAACACACCAACACAATGTCGTAACCTCGACACGTGATAACAGTGACAAAGATAGTAACAATGAAACACACCAACAGTGTCGTAATCTCAACACTTGATAACAGAATCAAAGATAGTAAAAAAAACATAATAACACACTGTCGTAACCTCGACACTTGATAACAGTAACAAAAATCGTAACAATGAAACACACAAACACAATGTTGTAACCTCGACAACAACAACTCCATACCAAGAATGGCAAAATCATTGAAAGGTCGATAACTAGGTTTGACTCAACATATAGTGAACAACGGTAACATGGAATTATTAACCAAAATGAAATTAAAATTATTTAAGCACTGTCTATTTGTTTGCTTTGATTTTTTTTTTAAGTGTGGATATACAGAATACATATGATCAACTTGGTCTTTGTACTAAACTTTAACTCCATCAATGTTTTTTTTTAATTTCGCGCAAAGCTACATGAGGTCTATCTGCGCTAGCCGTCCCTAATTTAGCAGTGAAAGACTAGAGGGAAGGCAGCTAGTCATCACCACCCACCGCCAATTCTTGGGCTACTCTTTTACGAGATTGACCGTCACATTATAACGCTCCCACGGCTGAAAGGGCGAGCATATTTGGTGGGATAGGGATTCGAACCCGCGACCCGCAGACTGCGAGTCGAGCACCCTAACCACCTGGCTGTAAACTATTTATTCATCAAATTACTCATTGGCCCACGAATCTTTAGGCTACAACGTTCTTAACAGCAAGTGAATCAAACAAAAACGCAATCACTATTACAGTTAATCCTACTAGTTAGTGCTGGAATTACTTTATGTATTTTACACAGAAACCGAGAAATTTCACTTTTTTCTTGGGTCTGTAACAGACAAAACCATAAAATTCATCAATATGGTGAAATAGGTGACCCCCCCAGCACCGGTACAGAAACAAGCTTTAATACTGATTTTAACGTTAGGCCTTAGACACAGAGTAACTCTTCAGGAATGATCTCAGCCAGAAGCTCTCTTGCGTTCGATTTGATTTCAGGTGCTATGAAACACGGAAGCAATTTTTTTCATGAGCTGAACGTTGTAAGTATTTAAATTTGTAGAGATGTTTTTAGTAGGACCGAGTACTGGTTTCAAAGCCTAAAAACATCACTCCTAACTTGAAGAATGTTTTGTTGTTGTGTTTTGAAGCATACTTCATGTAGAAGTGTTTAATATAACCCAAGTTTCTAAATCAAGGAGAAGTAATTTTAAAAAATCCTAAATTAATTATGCAGACTGCATTCTCAATTAAAGTGTTTGGCGATATAGTAATATTCCAGAGGGCGCCTCTATCCATGTTATTATAAACTTTTCTAATATTAGCAGTATAGGTGCGTGGGAATAATGGGGAATTGCTCAATTAAATACTACACCTTAAGTCCTTTGCTTCGTAGCATATATTTGGTGATTAACTTAAGAATGATTTGGAATTTTCTTTATATTGGCAATTTTGTTTAATAAACTTTACATGCTAACTGTTTACAACTGAAAACACGAATATCACGTAGGCACTACGCGTTCTGTGCGAGTGTAGAGTATAAAGTACTTCCTGTTTATCTTATTGTTGTTGTTTTTTCTCAGTATATGCTGTGTTCAGTTAACAAGAAACATGGTAAAATAAACAGGGTACAGAAAGATTGAGAACATTGATTTTTTGCAACCACAATCACTTATTACGGATACAGAGGGTGGGTTGTGTAGAAATAAGCATCAGAACAGATAGTTCCTTGATAGAGTTTTGTCATTTGAGGGTGCGTTGTACTGTTAGGAAGAAGCCTCAGAACAGACGGGTCTGTTGTGAAACTTGTATCACTAGAAATAAGCATCAGAACAGAGGGATCTTTGAGACAGTTTTGTTATTTGAAATAGCCTTTTGTAGGGGGTTTGCTCGTTTGATGTTTAAGTACAAATCTAGACGATGGGCTAACTGCACTGTGCCCACTACGGGTATTGAAAGCCGGTTTTTAACGTTATATACCTTCATATTGCCGCTTAGCCATTCGAGGGGGGGGGGGTGATGGAGGCTGTAGGGGGTTTGTACCATTCAGAATATGGTTCCCAACAGTTTGAAAACGAAGAACTACATAATTGTACAGCTATGCAAGAAAGTGTATGTATTATAACTGACCAGTAAAGTAACTAACAATAACGCATGCGTCTATTGGTTTCAAGCTAAAGGATCAACATTCATGTTATTGGGTACGTCTAGGTTACAACCTTTACCCTTCTATAACTTACGTCACAACATTTTAGGTACGCTTTATTTCCACAGTGTCCTCCAATTCTCCCCCTGTAAACGTGACTTTAGGTATGTCATATTTCTGGTAGTTGCCAGTATAGACTGTCCCTGTCTTCTTACAAGTCTGTTAAGCTTCGAGAATCTTATCATCCCGACAGAACTGTGAGAACATTGAACTATCGCAGACCGGGCGATGGCGCCAGACAGGTCAGTTAGCTCTGGTTTTAAAAGTGGCCAGCTGGGTCTCACTGGTAACTGTTTTTATACGTTTCTTATTTTCTTCATTTTGTACACTTGGGATTTATTCCTTGTATTGTAAATAAAGTTACATTTGCTTTATTTATGTAATGTGGGTAATTCCTCGTGCACCTGATTAACTGTCAAACTATCACACGACATCCTGCATAGCGTTCGTTAATTCGATTTCTCATCTTGGACGCAGATGTTATAAGACGGTCCCCCAAAGGTGCGTGTTTGAGCGTGACAAGTGTTCAGATGCACACTAATGGTTCAACGGTACCATGAGAAAATCCATGTTTACATATCTTTGTTCAGTTGCTGTAGAAGAATATCAATACCTTATTTAGATTTTTATTTTTACTCTTGACCCCACGATAATCTAGGGTCTAAAACTGCGATAAAGCCATGTGACTTTACTATTTGTTGACCAATACCATATGATACTATTTATTCTTGGTGTTCTGGCATATAACATCCTTCACTTCTTTTTAAAGTTGCAAAAACTATAATACAAAATTATCACACTCTCCTGAATAATTTTTGCTCAAGTTACATTTTTTTATTTTACATAACGAACTTTGGTTGATCTAATTAGTCCTATCAAATACCAGGTTATTGAATTACTTATTTTCTTCAACGATCTTAGAAATTATAAATCGAAGAATAAAGCCTAACACGGGATTGCTGAATTTTAGGAATTGAAATGTTCACTCTGGTTCACACTATTTATAAGTGAGCTAAATGACCTTTAGATTTCAGAACTGCTACCAAAGAAGATTGTTTGTTAGTTTTGAATTTCGCGCAAAGCTACACGAGGGCTATCTGCGCTAGCCGTCCCCAATTTAGCAGTGTAAGACTAGAGGAAAGGCAGCTAGTCATCACCACCCACCGCCAACTCTTGGGCTACTCTTTTATCAACGAATAGCGGGATTGACCGTCACTTTATAACGCCCCCACGGCTGAAAGGGCGAGCATGTTTGGTGGGACGGGGATTCGAACCCGCGACCCGCAGATTACGAATCGAGTTCCCAAACCACGTGGCCATGCCGACTACCAAAGAAGAAGGCAACCGATCAGAAGCACCTGCTGCGTGTAAAGCGTGATCAAGTGGTGTCTCGAACCTCGGACCTTTCTATCCGCAGCGCATAAAACCAATAAAAAAAAACAAACTAAAATTAAACTCTCTGTGGTTGTTTGTCGGTACTCACCATTCCCTGACAAAGACTGACAGAGACTCGAGACTGGTTGTCGCCTTCAACTAGACCCTTGTAATAACAGCGGCGTTCTGGAGCGCGATGTATCCACAGTGTTGCATTTTCGTCGTAAGAGTCTACCGTTTGTAGATGAAACTGTGGAGCTATAAAGCTGTCTTCATTTTCTAATGCCACAACGAATGTTCTGTTAAAGGCTATCCATTCATACACTACACTCTGTTCCCAGTCTTCCAAATTCCGCCAGCGGAAGTCCTGATGACCAGAAAGAGCCTGTCTATTGGCATCGAGACGGACCGGGTGCACCAACTGGGACTTCATGGGCAACGAACCTGCCGGCAAATCTGAGAAAAAAAAATAGAAGTTTAAATCTCATTAATCAAATACAGCACACCATTCTGTAGCAAACCGCGGACTGAAATCAGATCTGACAGGGTGTAGTACACTACTCAATGACGTAGTTGTTTACTTTCATAAAACGTCTGAAAACAAGAGGGAAAAAGTACCGCCCGTGTTTAAGACTAGACTGTACACATGTGAAACTCATTATCGCTAGGCCTTTTTCCTCCTTGCCCACGCGGTACACGTCCTGCATGTAGTTTTTATCTATTAACCAAGGGACAATAATTTCGTAAACTACATTTAGATACCCACGAGATACGACATTATAAACAAAATACACGATATGATAATGAAAGCGATGATATCTCGATAATTTTGTTCTTTAATCCCAGCTTATCACAGTATTAATCACAGTCAGGAGTGAGGAAGACTGGTAGCCAGCGGCTTTTCCTGGACACCTAGTATATACGAATACATTTTTATACGATTTAATAGTCGTTTAGAAATAGAAAGGAAGAAATATTATTTTCATACTTAAACAACCGAATTTTAATTTGAACGAAATAATTGTAGATCAAGAGAATGAGAGAGAACGACAAGCAAGCAGATAGATAGATAAGACATGGATAAAGAGAATGACCATGGTCGGCGCGTTATACACTAAGGCAGCGTTTCCCAAAGTGTGGAGCGTACCTCCCCAAGGGAGGGCAGTGATCTCTTAGGGGGAGGGGCGAGCGATTAGGAGAGTCAATAGTGCAATAATGTAAAATTAAGCGTTAATTTATTTTTTATTAATAGAAGTAGCAAGTAATTACTACAACGCACATCATTTTGTTGTGTGTCTGTATCACACATCGTCATTTAACTCACTTTTATAGCAAGTAATTACAACACACATCATTTTGTTGTGTATTACATTACATATCGTCATTTAACTCACTTTTATAGCAAGTAATTACTACAACACACATCATTTTGTTGTGTGTCTGTATTACATATCGTTATTTAACTCACTTTTATAGCAAGTAATTACAACAACACACATCATTTTGTTGTGTCTGTATTACATATCGTTATTTAACTCACTTTTATAGCAAGTAATTACAACAACACACATCATTTTGTTGTGTGTCTGTATTACACATCGTCATTTAACTCACTTTTATATCAAGTAATTACTACAACACACGTCATTTTGTTGTGTGTCTGTATTACCCATCGTCATTTAACTCACTTTTATAGCAAGTAATTACTACAACACACATCATTTTGTTGTGTATTACATTACATATTGTCATTTAACTCACTTTTATAGCAAGTAATTACTACAACACACATCATTTTGTTGTGTGTCTGTATTACATATCGTCATTTAACTCACTTTTATAGCAAGTAATTACTACAACACACATCATTTTGTTGTGTATTACATTACATAATGTCCGTTATTAACTGTGATGTTTATTACATGCCCGTTATTAACTGTGATGTTTATTACAAGCCCGTTATTAACTGTGATGTTTATTACATGCCCGTTTTTTTCTATAGTAAAATATTATCCAATTGCTTATTTCCGATTTGTTTGTTGTTACCTATACTCTGTCCACAGAGAATATCGAAATCCGAGTTTTAGCGTTTTAAGCCCCAGACTTCCCGGGTGAGGCGGTGGTGGGGCAATCTGCTTGTATGATAGTGTTTGCCCTTAGTGCAGCATTTCCCAAACTTTTTTCATTCACGCCCCTTTAGTAAATAACCTTTCTTGCACACCTCTTTTTTTTAATGAGTGAAAAAGTGATTTAAATGGCGATATGTAATACACAGATACACAACAAAATGATGTGTGTTGAAATTACTTGCTATAAAAAGTGAGTTAAATGACGAGTAATAAACATCACAGTTAATAACG